AATGTGCCTGTGAGCTGCCGCGTGGGGAGCGGGCGCTCTGTGGTTGTTAGGGAGATAAAGACTTGTTGCTATGGAGGGAGTGGGCACCGGGGCCCCAGGTGGGCATAAGAGGGTAGGCTTTGTGAGGAGGGGGCAGGAGGCAGCCAACTAAGAGGTCTGGGTGTGAAGGGATGAGGGTGAGGGCTGACCAAGCAGACTGGGAGGTAAGGTCATTGTGGGCAGCCATGAGGGCCCCTGTCTTGTGCTGCTGGGGCAGCTGTGGGGGAAGCAGACAGAAGCCTCAGGGGGCATCATCAGTGCTCCAAAGGGAATGAAACACGGGCAAGGAACCAAGAGGTAGGCCAGGCCTCCAAGCCCATCCCTGAGTGAGTCCCTCCTGGGGACAAGGTGGAGATGAGACAGGCGTCCCCATACAGACGGAAGGAAAACCACACCGTGCCAATGCCCGGAGGCAACTGGGAGGCAACTGGGAGGCTGGCGTTGGTTGTGGCCTCCTCCCTGCCTGGGGGTCTCTGTGGTGTGGGCTTCAGACTGCAGGGAGGTTGGGGAACTGGGCCCAGGAAGGCTGCATGCTCGGCAGCCTGGCTCAGAAGGGCTAGCAAAACTGCCTGGGGACCCAGCCCCAGGCTCGACCCCAGGGATGACACCCAACCTCATGGCCAGGCCAGGCCAGAGCCAGGCACAGGCAGCGCCTGGTCCCAGCCTGAGCGAGAGTCCCCTGTAAGCCAGAACGTCAGCCAGGGATTCAAGGACCATGTCACTGGATACAAGGGACCTGGGCCTCTCTCTAATCTTCATCTCAACCAAAGAGCCTCTGGACTCTGCAGGCAACAGATGCCTAGATCTCTGGCCACAGACACTTGTCTACTCAAGACCTTCCGAGGGCCAAAGGGACTGTCCAACCCAGGAAGAGGACCAAACATCTTCCTCAGCACTCTGTCCTCAAGCCTCGGGGCTTCTCCTCTGCTTTGAAGACACACCGCCCTACACCCATGACCCATCTGCAGGCCTGAGTGTCTGTCCTGGTTCTCACCCTTCCCAGGAGACAGCCATTAATTCATAATATATGTGATTCCTGGGTGCCTATTCCAGGCCTAGCACTGGGGAGACAGTGGGGGAGAGTGCTAAGACTCTTGTCCTCACACTACAGCATGACCAGATGGTTTCTGGGACAGGAGACACATTGTGGATACCAGACAACGGAAGCCTCAGCACAGGGCACTGGCCCAAGAGCTCCCCTCTGGCCTGAAGGACAGCGTCCACCAATGGTCCAGGCCCGGGTAAAGAATTTTAGTGCAAACAAAAAAATATCCTCATAGCATCTATGAGCAGGCCAGACTGGCAGGGCCTGCTCTGCCCTGTGGCAGAGCCCATGCCAATTTCCCAAGCTCAGGTGGCACAATCAGGGCCCCATGTCCCAGCCAGAGCTGGGAACACAACATTCTGGCCAGAGGTGCTGAGGGTCTGCATCCCAAAAGGAAGGTGCAAAGAACTAGGCTTCAGTAACCCCATGCTGGCCAAGCACCTTCTGATCCTTGCAGACTCTAGAGCCATAAGGAGCCATAAGGAGCCAGAGATCTTGGCTTAGGTTCTTCAAACAGCTAAAAGGCTGTGCACATGCAACTGTCAGCAGATGCCCAACATGACTGATCACGTTACCTCCCACTTAAAAACACTTTCATGGCTTGGCCTTGCCTTTCAGATAAAACTAAAACCCCAGAAGGGCAGGCGTCCTCATCAGCCTCTGTGGCACCACATTCTCCCCAATGCTGTGCTGCAATGATCTCCTTGAGTCCTTCCAATGCACAGAACTTCTTGCCTCAGGGCCTTTGCACATGCTGTTCAGGCAGTCGACACACTTCCCTATCCCACCCTCCATCACCTAGTTAATTGATTCAAAGCACAAATCCCAGCTTAGAATTCGACAAGGACAGACAGTGGGGTGTGGTCATCCAATTCTTGCCTGTCGCTCTCCCCAGGCTCTGCAACCCACTGCACAGAGACCTTGTCTATTTTGCCCCAGTGCCTGGTTATGTGCTTAGGAAAGACCAGCTGTTGAAGGGAGCCCTTAACAGGGTTCTCCTAGAACCCTCAAGCTTTGAGAAGCAATTAGAAAATGGCCCAGACCTTTCATTTTACAGATGAGGACAATGAAGCACAGCAAAGAGCTTTGCTCAAGTTCCCACAGTTAAAATATGGAGAAGCCTTGCCTCAGCTTCTGAAAACAGCTCAGAGACAGCTCATAGCACAGGGCAACCAGTTTGGGCACACCAAATCTATGCCGACCAGTTATTACAGGTGGGGTAGAGCCCACAGAGGCACCAATGAATAGAGCAGCAGTCCTCAAAATATGATCTGGGGAACCTTGGGATCCTCGAGATCCTTTTTTTGGGGGGAGTCCAAGAGAATAATTATTATTTTATAATAATGCTAAGATGGTATGTGACTTTTACTCTCTCGTTTGATCACAAGAGTACAGTGGAGTTTTCCAGAAGATACATGACATGTGATGACATCATCACTAATGACATGTTTGTGGATTTGTGTTTTAATATGTCTCTGTATTTCTAACAGGGTTAATAATGATATAACTCTCATAAACAAAAATTCTTTGGGGTATTCAAAAATTTTTAAGAGTATAAAGAGGTCCTCAGACCTGAGTTCAGACTGCTATGTAGAGTAGTGGTGGGGGTGGGGGGTGCTCCATCTCAGAGCCCAGTCAACACCCCTCAGCTTACCCTCTCACTCCTGCCCCCACCCCAAGACGCCCGCATCTGACGGGGGAAGCTCGACTTTATGAGATGTCTTAAAATGCCAGGAATATCTTTCAGGATTTTTCACCCTATCCCTCCTGTCAGCCTAACTGGAAAACCTGCACTAAGTGCTTATGATACTCATTTTCTCACTTGAATCTTACAGCAACTCTAGAATGTAGGTGTGATTATCTCATTGTACAGACAGGAAACTAAACCTCAGAGAGGTTAAGTCACCTGACCAGTGTCACCAGGTAAGAAGTGCCAAAGTCATGATTTGCATCTTGGTCTACCTTACTCCAAGGCCTGGGAGTCTCCTCCCCATGCCAAGAATAGAAGACAAAGCTGGGGGTTCAGGCGACCCAGCAACAAACAGCTAACAGGGTAAATGGGTGAGAAAGAAACAATAAAACCACTCACGCAACTTCCACGCCGTCTTGGTGACTACAGGGGTGGCCATCCTTCAACCAGCTGGCACCTGAAGCTCCACCGACAACAGACTGCTTTCCTTGAGGGGTGGGGGTGGATCCCCCCCAGATCCACCAATCAAGTTGGCAGGGAGTTCCCACACATCCAGGCAGAGGGAATGCCTTGTCACCCGGCTCTGCTCGGGACAGACTCGTAGTTTTAAATCATCCACAGCAGCCACAGCAGCAGTCCGTGTGCACCTTTCGGGATCCTGGATCATGGAATGTCAGGCTTGGGCCATCGCAGCTCAGTACTGGGCTAGAACACAAACAGAGGTGATGGTTCCTTAGGAAATACTCAGCGGGCGCTCAGGGGGACCCTGATTTGTAGAACTGCAACTCCCTGGATCACCAAGGCCTCTTAATAAAGACAGAGACCCGCCAAAACCACTAGAGCCAGGACACTACAAATTGGGTTTGAGAATCTGGAGAGAGGGCACCTCAAGCAGAGTGACTTGGAACACAGGAAAAAAGAAGGTCCTCCCAGTGGCCAGGATGATGGGAGGAGGCTCTGTTCCAGGCAGCTGGCTGCATGAAGCTCAGCAGCCGCAGTGGGGCGAGGAAGAGCACATGTCTGCAGTTCAGAAAATTTCTGGGAGTCATTGTTTCGTCTGGCTTATGGTAAGGGGGTGGAGTCAAGGCTAAGCTTAGGGGTCCATGTGAGGCACCCCAGAGACAAGTATTACAGTCTTCTCTGGGAAGAATCTCAAAGAGGGCCTTGAGCATCCAACCCCCTCCCACCCCCTACTCCCCCAGTTTGTAGCAAGGAAACCACTCTTGGTTACTGCAATTGCCAAGGACAGTACTGGGAACTAGGCCTCCAGTCTGGGCATGAGTCGGTATGAATCCTCAACCCTAAAAGACCACCTTGTGGTGCCTCCTACCCCCTTCCTCCAAACGTTTTCCCATGAACCCTCTCCTCTCCGTCCTCTTTCTCCTGGGTTCCCCAGTCCTGCCTCTCTAATCTACCCCTTCTCCCTGCCTCCTGTGTCCCCGATTGGTGCATATCTTGTCTCCTGAGCTCCCTAAACTGGCCCTTGCCTTACCAGACTCCCTTTACTCTCCTACCCACTCTGCTACCGGTATCCTCCATTCATTCGCTCTACTGTTTCCTGTGTCCCTATTTATCACCCATCCTCCCGCAGACCCCCAGCTCTGTTTCCGGCCTCCCAGGTTTTACCCTCAGCCTCCACGCCAGTCCCGCCCCTCCAGAGGCTAAGCCTGGTGCCTTGGCCTCCGCGGATCCTCCCATTTCTCTCAGCTTGTGGGGCACAGGCTCCAGCCTCCCCGCGTCTAGAGCCCTCTCTGCCGCAGCCCGGCCCGACCCCACCTGGTTTCGCCCAGTCTAGGGCGAAACATCCCCTCGCCTCCTCGCCCCCTCGCCCACTCCACCTGCAGCTGCGGGTCCAGAGGCCGAGGCTCCGCTCCAGGGGCGACCCCCACTTGCCTCCATCCCCTGCCCTGATTGGACGCTGCTTGACAACCGACCCTCACAACAAAACCTCCGGCTTTGGGCCCCGCCCCCCTCGCCTCCTGCACCAATCAGCCTCCGCAGGCGCTCCACCTCCCGCTGGGTTTGGCCAATCGAAGCAGTCGCTTCTGCCGCTTTTCCTAAGTACCCGCCCTCTTTTTCTGAATTGGACTAATCACGAGGAAAAGGAGTTCAAGAACCGCCCCCAGGCCTCTAATGAACCAATGCGGACTGCCGTTCTCTTGGTCCCGCCTCCGCCTCAAACTTTCCCTTTCCTCTCCCTTTCCTTCTCTCTCTCTCGAACCTGATTTGCGTTTGAAAAATTTGCGAGACGCCCTCCAATGGCATCTGCACCAATCACTTCAGCAACCGGCCCAGATAGACCAATCAGCGTTCCCATTATTGGAAAAAACAATTCTCAGGTAGCCAATGGGAAGTGGACATCGGGAGCAGCGTGAAGCCGCGGTCCTTCCATCTTGGAGTCGGGCGAAGCGGAGAGGCGTCCTTAGCGTTTTGCCATGGCTCCTACTTCTTTCCTTTACTTGTGGGCGGTGCCGCCGTGTTCTGAAGACTTTCCTTCTTCGGCTGGAACATCGGCTTGAACCCCCCCACAGGAGGAATCTAGGGAAACGGAGACTGATTCCGGGTCGGGTCAGGCTTGGAGCCCGGAAGTACTGCCCCTACGTCCGAGGTCTAGGTGAATGGATGAGCGGGCTGCTCCCCTGAGGACCACTGACTAGGAATCCGCGAAGGGCCAACTTCACTTGTGATTTATGGGTGGAGCTATAACCCACCAGAATCGGGGTCTCCTTTGTGGTCCCTCCTGGGGGCCGCGTAGGAGGGTCTCGGTGGTCCTAGGCCAACTTCACTTGTGATTTAGGGAAGAGCTATAACCCACCAGAATCGGGGTCTCCTTTGTGGTCCCTCCTGGGGGCCGCGTAGGAGGGTCTCGGTGGTCCTAGGCTATAGATAAAGAAGGAGAGGAGAGAAAGGCTGGTGCTGGAGCTTGTGAAACATGAGGTACAAATGGCAAATTAAAGCGCGTTTATTTACAGAAAATCAGGAGAAGCAGGAACACATAGGGCTGTAGGGCAGTGGCGTGGCAGCGAAGCTAGGTCATTAGCTCCGTGTAGAGACCACAGAGGCCAGGCTGTGAGGGAGGTTTCCTTCTCTGGCAGCTTAGGCAGAGGCCCCAGGAGGGGCATCAAACAAAGACTTTCAGGTACTCTACCAGGCGTGGGTCCTTGTAGAGCTTTTCCTCAAGAGCCAAGTACTTGAGCGGAGCCAGCTCCTTGTGTCTGAAAGCAGAGGGAGGAACAAGAGGTTGTTGGGGGTTACAAAGCTGGTGTTCCAGCCTCCTAGTGGGTCGACCTCAGGCTCCCCTGCCCCCTCACCGATTGAGCCGCTGTTCCAGGATGCGGATGCGGAACATGGCCTGAGAGCAATAACTCAGGTACAAGTCTTCATCCTCCGTGGTCAAGGTCACCTGGTTCTCCTGGTACCACTGCTGCTTCTTCTGCAGCTCCTGGGTCTCCTGCCGGCGTAGGGAGGAGAGCACAGGAGGGCTGATGAGGGCTGACCCTCCCCAGGCTGTAGGTCATCAGAGAGCCCATGGGGGTTAGCCCCACTAACCCCACCCACAGAAGCTGGAACAGCAGAGGCAGGGGCTGTAAAAGTCTTGGGTGGGAGCTACTGAGGTCTTATTTAGAGGGATATCATGTCCATGATGTCAGAGTAGGGTTCAAGACTGAGACAACCGTGTGGCTCTGGAGAAGTTACATTTTCAGAGCTTCCAATTTCTTTTCTGCCAAATGAGGGTCATTGTATACATCGGCCCCCTGCGCCCACCATAGAGCTCTTGGTGAAGATTAAATGAAATAATGCATGGGAACTACACAGTATGGTTCCAACCAACAGAAATGTGTCAAGGACTAGAAGTTATTACAGTGCATTATAGGATCCATCCATCCATCCATCCTTCCACCCATCCACCCATCCACTATCCTTCCATCCATCCATCCATCCATCCATCCATCCATCCATCCATCCTTCCATCCTTCTATCTTTCCTTCCTTCCTTCCATCCATCCATCCATCCATCCATCCATCCATCCATCCATCCATCCATCCATCCATCCTGCCATCCTGCCACCTATTCATCTCTCTCTCTATCCTTCCACCCAATGAACAGGAGTAAGGAAGGACAACTTGGTCATGTGGCATCTCCAAGCAATGACATACTCGTCTCATTATTCCCTCACGAGTCTGTGATATGGTAGGCAAACAGTCCTGGGTCCGTTTTCTGGGTGAGGACACCGAGGTCCCCTCCCCTGCCCAGACCCTGGTCGCACCTTCTCGAAACGGGCCTGGATAAGGTTGGCCTTGTCGATGAGCCTCTGCTTGAAGTCATTGAGGCACTCGTCCTTGAGGCGCACGGCCTGCCAGCGTGTCAGCTTCTCTCCTGGTGGGAGCTGTGCCAGGAACGGGGCCAGGTAGTCCAGCTGGGCCTCCACCTGCCGCAAGTGCTCCTCATGCATCACACGCTCCTGTGGGGATGGGGGAGTGGTCAGCTGGACCAGCAGGGGCTGCAGAGACCTCCCAGCCAGCTCTGCATCAA